TTTTGATTAATAATCTTAATTATATGATCAGGGACGTTCAAAGAGTACGCTGGGTAAATCAATCTCGATAGACCTTCCATTTTTGAAAGCAAAATTCTTCCGAAAATAGATAGGTCCCTTTGTAACCATGTATTCAAAATTGTTTTACTTTTTTTCAGAATGTTCTCAAAGTTAGCCCTCTCTCTATCTTTCAAATCCTTAGACACTGTAATTCCTAAATATTTGACTTCTTTTTTGATTGGAATGCCTTCAATAGATGTTAGAGGTTGGTCATGAATCGCCATCAATTCACATTTATTTAAATTCAACTTAAGACCAGAAGCTTCTGAGAAGGAGGAAATAATTTTTAGAGCTTTCGGTATTTGAGCGGCATTTTTTAGAAATAAAGTTGTATCGTCCGCTAGTTGGCTTACAACTAAGGGACAACTCATAACATTTAGCTGCTTGACATCCTCACTATTTTTTAACATAATAGCTAAATTCTCCGCCGCCATAATAAAGAGTAGAGGAGAGGCAGGGCAACCTTGACGGATACCCCTTCTCACCTCAAATCTACTGCAGGTGCCAAATGGTAATGATACTGAACTATTTATGTCATTATAAAGCATATTGATGATCTCTCTGAAGCCATCACCAGTCTTGCACGAAATATTATTAACGTTACTCTTTGTAGTCACGTAGGCATGTGAATTACAGCGTTTCATTGCGAAGAATGCATGTAACGGGTACACTTGCGCTGTTTCTCCGCCATCTCATTCAAATGAGCCAGGTGTAGGGGGCGGGTATTTATACGTCATGGCCTCAAGCTGAAAAAGACTTCCTGTTAGGAACCTCTCGACCATCCTAGCTCGTAGCTGCTTAAAGCTTGCTGCTAGCTCCTAGCGCTAGCTCCTCACTGCAGAAATAAGAGACTTGGGAAGGCCTAGAAGATGGCGGACCTCGAACGACTTCCGGTTCAAGCGAGGAGCTAGCAGTAGCACTATAAAAATAAGAGACTTGGGACGCACCCACAGTGTTTCTGTAGAGTAGCCTCGCGTCACCATTCTGAATTTTGTCTGGATTCTGGTTCCGGTCTAGAGAGCGGATCCGGAATTCACCAAATTCACCAAAATAAAAGTGCTCACCAAAGTAAAACTTGGTGCACCATCGATTTACAATAATAGAAAAAGGTTAACTTAATGGTTTGGGGCTTTTCTTGTAAATTATATCCTTTAAATTAAAAAGTTTCACCGCATTTTTATTAGCTTGGTGCTTTTATTTTGATGAAAAGGCGCATCCATCGAATTCCGGATCCTGTCTCTCTCGCCCTGGTTCCGATTCCTTACCAAAACGGCCACTAAACAGCCCCAGACTACTGCAGAGTAGGGCTGCAACTAATGATAACTATCATTGTCTGTTAACCTGTCGATTATGTTCTCGAGTAATCAGTCAGTAGTTTGATCTATAAATGTCAGAAAAATGGTTAAAAAAAATGGTGAAACATGGTGGGACACGAATGAAAGTTAAGACAGCAAAAGTCTGAGTAGGGCAGGTGGTAGGGGTGGTGGACGGGTCCAACAAACACCGATGTTGTTATTTAATGTCTCCTTGTGGTCGTTATGTGAAACGTGGTCGTTATGTAAACGTCAGTTCGCAGTGTTGTACTAATGTAGGGCGTTTATTTTGAAAGAGACTGTTTGTAAATGGTAAATTTCCTGTGAAAACAGAAGTATATTTTGAAAGAAGACAATTCATGTAACAGGCAGAACTTGACATGGTGTCCCACAACATCAACAACCAACACACCCAGGGTACCTTACACATTGAATGTGGACATGGAAGGTCCATGACCGAACGTCTATATGTGGTGAGGTCAAACTGAGAATGTGTTGGAAAGTCACATAAACAAAACTGTAACATCAAAGTGTTTGCTTTCTTCACCTACACCAGAGTTCAGAAATGTTAACTATCAAAACAGCCATTTTGTTGAGCTTATAGGACCTGTTGTTACAATCCCTGAGTAGTCAGCACTTGCCTGGTGTCTCATGTCTTGAGTGGGAATGGGGGAATTCATTGTGGTCATCAGGTGGGCACCTTTCTTCATTTGTGTTTCGTTAATGGGGCCAACAACACCTCTAGAGGGCTCAATGGCAACACCTGGCGTCCCAGGTGTGTCCCTTCTGCTTTTACCCTAGCTCCCTCTGGATGTCTGAGCT